AAGTGGGTACCGACACAGGAATCACCACCAAATCACTAGGAAATAACACTGGAGGGGTGAATCCTGTAGGAGGTTCCACTCTCTTGTGTGTTGTCGCGTAGTAGCCTCCTCCTCTTGTTGCCATTCAATGATTTGACGACGATCCGTCCATACTGTTGGTAGGGCTGGAGTTAACAGACTCCTCCGTAGTAGTAGCCTCTCCTCTTCTTGTTCTCCAGAGCGATCGTTCGTTCGTTCGACCTCGACAATGGGATTTCCTCGGCCGTCGACAGTGCAGCAGAGAAAACAACAAATAGATATGAGTTTTGTTTTCTGTGCTCAACTGCAGACAACCGGAGATTTACTCTTGCTTTTCAAATTCCACCAACTTGGCTGTCATGGGCCGAGAACTGACTGCCATCCCATGGTCCATAGGATTCAATGTGGGATGGCTTTCGAATCTACACCGGAGACGACCGGCTTGAGTGATGCTTGATAGAAGAGGTGCAACGATCCCATCGAATAATTAAATGACAACTCACCTGTTGACGGCCGAGCTTGGAATTCTCTCCTGAATACCATATGAATCCAATGAGGGAGAGAAGTCAGCGCTGCACCTTCAATTGACGCTTTTGATAATAGGCTTACCTCATTGCGATGATTCTTCCGTAAATCCTTAACCTTAGTAAATTCAACGGTTCCTTTATCCACGAATCGATCTATTTTTATCGAACGAGAACTTGTTACTTATGGATACACATGACCGTTGATTCTGCAACTGAAGTGCGGCTACTCTATTTTACACAGTAAACGCCGGCAAATCGATTTCAGAGTGCAACTGAGGGGGTAACCAAAAGGTGCGTCGTCTCATGAGACGTAATTGGATACCACGAAGGATCTCCGCAAGTGTTAGGGTTCAGGGGCGGGCAAATATCTTTGGATCTTTCTTGGTGTGGATGAGAACAGCGGCGGCGACCAGTCTGAAAGCTGGAGAGTCTGGACCCCATTTGTAATAGTTTGCTGTTGTCTCTGTCCACCATGGCGTCTCTTCCTCCCCATCTCATCTTCAAACCCGTGGCTGGGTTGGCCAAGAAGGCTCCAGCTGTGATTTGCGTCCAGGAATGGTGGGGTATCAACGCGGCCATCAAGGGGATAGCGCAAAAGATCGCCGATAAGACGGGAGCCGAAGTCTATTTACCGGATCTCTACAAGGTCAGAATATTCGTGTTGAGAGCAGAGTGCGGCAGTTGTTTCAATTACTCATAATGTATGCGGGTTATCTTTGTTTGCTGTTGCTTGTGGCTGATTGCAGGGAAAGGTTGGTGTCAACCAAGAAGAAGCCAGTCATCTCATGAACAATCTGGACTTTAAGAACGCCGTCAATGAGATGGAACTCCTCTGTAAAGATATCATTCGAAAGGAAGATGCCGACCGAAAAGTTGGTGTCTGTGGATTTTGTATGGGCGGTGCCTTAACCCTGGCAACAGCTGCTTTGATTGAGAAACCTTTGGATGCTTGTGCTCCCTTTTATGGAATCCCTCCAGCCGAATTGTGCGATGTCGCTGTGCTGAAAAAGAAAACACCCGTTCAAGGACATTTTGGAGACAAGGACGGCATGGCTGGGTTCAGTGACAAGGCATCCGCAGACAAGCTGGAAGAAACCCTCAAGAATGCCGAGGGCGACAAGGAAGCGACCATTTTTCATTACCCCACCGAAGGACATGCCTTCATGAACGATGATGAATTCTCAAAAGAACAGAGAAAGCTTCTGAAATTTGATGGAGATTACACTGATGAAGCTCGAGAGCTTGCTTGGGGCCGCCTCACCGAGTTCTTAAAGAAGAATCTCTTCTAAGAGATTGTGAAGCCCAAAGCACCCACCAATCTACACCAGAGTTCGTCAAACTCTAAGCGCGCAACAATCTAAGTAAGAGGCTCCGCGCAACGAAATTGTCGACACCAGCAGGCCAAGTACTTTTTCTCCCACGACGAATTATCCTTTTAGTCAAGCAACATTTTTTACTTAGCTTACATCTTTTTAGCTTAGTTCCGAAGCCACCAAACCAGGATGAATCGCTCATTCAAAACACTCTGCGTAGAGCTGGCACACAGCCACCCTCAAATCTTCTCGTGGCTTTGGATCACGATAGAGGCCCAGAGTCTCGCACAGCTCAAAGTACTCTGGCCCACCAGTGAAGAATGCGGCTGGAAACGGTGCAGATTGCTGGCACCAATTCGGATCGTTCTTGAGAGACGGAGAGACACGGTCCACCACGCCATTGTATCCCTTTTCCTCTAGCCATGACACAAGTTTCCCGATGGTCTCCACATGACGGCAACAGGGTTTGACAATCCTGGCGGGAAGTGACTTGTCATGTGGCAAATCCACCACAATGCACGGCCGAGAGGCAATCTCCGTCTCCGAGTCCAAGTTGGACGCATTGATATAGAGCGTATGGCCATCAAAGGAATACCCGTGGCTCGTGTGAATGTGACCAAAGATATGGAGACGCGGCCGTATGCGATTTTGGACATGTTGCAACAATTCATGACAGCCAGCACGCCCCGAATGATCCGTGTAGTCGCCTCTCCCCAGGGGCGGACCGTGGGTCAATAGGACATCCGTTGTTGCCGGCACTTTGGACCACATATCATCCAATGCTTCGCCTCGGGGTAGATTGAATGCCCAATCATAAAATGCTGGAGTCCAGGGTGAGCCATACAGCTCTATTCCATCACTCCCGCCATTCAGGCTGATGGAAATGCTGACATCTTCCAAGTAGGTGCAGTTCTTCAGAGCAGCCCGCGTTTCGTGTGGATCAAATGGCTTTGGTTTGTGCTTACGCCGAGCTGTCTGGTAGAAATCCGGTTGAAATGTAAGCTCATGGTTGCCAGCAATGGCATAGATGTGCTGAAACTTTCCAGAGTGCTCCAGAAAGTATAAACTCAAGTCTTGGACGGAACCAATCTCACCAGATTTCGTAAAATCTCCTCCATGAATAAAGACGTCGCCTCTGGGCAAGAATGGTATATCTCGGTGTCTGGCATGTGTGTCGCTCATACAAACAAATCTAGTGACATTGGGATCCCTATCGCAGGATGAATCTGTTGTCGGGACTGGAGCAAAGACTTGGTCTTTTCGGATACCCTTCCAGATCAAATTGGGATCATGAGGGTCATCCTTGGCATCAGTCAGTGCTGATTGGGCCGCAAACTTCTCATCGAAATTGGTTAATGCGCCTTGGTCGCTACGTTCTGCCTCTTCAATTCTCGTGTTACAGAGAGGCGCTCTTAAGTTGGCTCTGTCTTCTAACAGGTCCTTTTCCGAGTCATCATCATCCCAGTCAACAGACGAGTCCTCATTTCTCTCAGCATGCGACGATTCGCTGTCGCTATCGCCATCGCTGTCGCTTGCGGCCCAGAACTTGCTCATGGTCGCTTACGGTTTGTGGTCTCTACTTACTTTTCGAAAGGCAATAGATGGTGGTAGGTCTTGCGATCTTTTTTAAGCACGTCTGACGGAGCGAACCGTGAACGTTTGTTTTGAAATGGCTACTACCGGTAGCTAGCTAGCCACTGTGGCGGCGAAATTCCGGTCTAGACAACCGGTACAGCTGTATCAGGTACCGTAAAAGTACTGGAATACAGTACATCGTAGTGTCCGCGGGATCAGGAGCAACCCAATATATCACGTGTTTGATTGAGCCAAGGGATTGACGCTGGGGTAGTGGTGCGTTGATGTACATCAAGGAAGCAAGGGGAGTTGCCCCCTGGAAGAGATTCGGTCCTGTCGGAGGCTGCAACGAGTTTGGAATAAAAAATCCCTCCCCCCTGTACCGGTACCAGTATCTGCGAGGGGTTGTCGTATACAACTTCAGCTAGATAGCTGAGTCAAGGAGTATCTATCTACCGTATTCAAGAAGATAGCCCCGGCATTCTCTATTTCGTTATCACCGTTGTTCCGTAGCCAGATCCGAACGCTTCATCATATCTCTTCACTTGAAATGCAAGTGTCTAAAAGTTGGCAAACGCAGCCATGCTTCACTTGGCTAGTAATTAGTTTTCTTCTGGCAAAACATAGTCGTTTCCCGATCCAAACTTCCAAGCCTCCATCCTTCGTCGCCACCTGAATTTTTCCCTGGGGTCATCCAGTTTTTCGACAAACGGTGTGATCACCGGAGAAGCAGCATTGTCGAGTAGAGTGTAGAGACCCATCATGCCAACGTGGCCTAGCCACTCTGCCAACGTTGGAATGCCAACGTGAGCAACAATCTCTGGCATGAACGTAGGATCTGCGACGAAGCTCCTAGCCAGACTGCCAATCAAGCCATCAAAGCGAACCACATCCTGCAGAAATGGCTTAATGGTACGCATCCCCATTTGATCCATCTCCTGAAAGTTGACCGCCAGTAAGCGGTTGACAAACTTGGGGTCCACCTTTTGTCCCATGCGAACCGACATGGCCTTTTGAAACATCCACGCAGCCGATAGATTGGGTGTGTATGCGTTGATTTCTCCGAGGTCATCTTTGTGCAGTGTTTTGCTTTCAACCGCTTCCACAATGGCCCCACTGATGCGACCCAAGTGCCTCGTGAGAGCACCAAATCCTCCGAAACTCAAGGGGCTCTGAATTCCAGAAGCGTCTCCAACCGCCAGGACACGGCTCCATTGTGGCTTGAGAGGCGAATCCTGGTAGGTTGGAAAGTAGGCAAACAACACACGGCGGATATCAAGGTCCTTTTCAGGATCACTAATGGATGGTTGGTATTCTGGCAACATTTTCCAGTAGTCTTCCATGAGAGTCTCCAATGATGGTCGCTTGGCATCTGCATCCATGTAGGTGAACATGTAGGTTGTTTTGACAGAGCTGGTGCCCGGTTCGTTTCCATCCCTGCCAATCCCAACGGGGAACGCCTCCCAAAAGTATTGCAGCATTCCATTTTCTCCCTTGTCCTGCATTTCCGTGTTTGTGTAAATAATGTCTCCAATAAGATTGGTTTCCTTCTCGAAGCCCGAGGCACAGGACCCCACCACAGCACAGATCCCATCAGGTTTCATTCCGTATCGCTGTTGACGAGAAATTGGTGATGCGTTTCCCATACAATCCAAAACAAGGTTGGTTGTCACTGGTTCTTCGTCGTTACCGAGATCCACTGCTGCACCGACAGCCTCTGACGTACAAACTCCCTTCAATGGTGTCTTTTCTCGCAACGTGCCTCCCAGTTCCTGAAATCGCTTGCCAACACGCTCGATCAACACCGCTGGAGCCACGCCGAGGTTCAACACATCATCCGTGGTTAATTCGTATCCTACTCCATTTTCAAAGTATCCTCCCACGGTGGGTGTCACTTCCTTATTTTTGAATCCCGACCGACACGCGGGGAACTCTGTTTTCACAGCGGCATCAATGTCCTCCTGCGATAAGACGCCCAGTTCCTTGAGCTCGAGGAGCTCGTCCATACTAATGTTCCATTCCTGTTCTCGACCACGCAAAGCACCCGCTTCCAAGACGCATACATTCAATCCCTTCAATTGCAAGGCAGTGGCGAAAAAGATTCCTAGAGTTCCACCACAAATCACCACATCGTAGTCCAATTTCTTTCCTTCCTGTTCCCGAAGTTTGGCCCAGCATTGTGGATTGCCTTGGGCTCCATCCTGCGTGACAAATGCCGGTGGAGGAGCGATGCCATTTTGCATGGATTGCAGCAATTTGGTGTCATACGTAAATGGTTCCGACGCTTTGAGGTTGGACCACCGTTGTTCCGCGGCCAAAAAGGCATCGTAGGTCGAAAATCCTCCGGCACCCGTGGCTCTACGAAAAAAGTAGTATACGGGGGTTCAATGAGTGTGGGAAACATGCAGATAATCTTTGGGGACGACAAGAATTATTGTTTGCACTTACTGCCCCTCCGTTGGTGCCTTGGCCATCATTCGCTCTGTCAAACTCTTCTTGGGCTCGTCAGCTGCAATGTCAGGAATGGGTTCCTTGAAAGTCGTCTGCACTGTGGTCTCCTCATCTGATGATGAAGAGCTGCGTATCCAAGAGTTGCCTGTCCTGGTTCTAGTTGCCAATGGCTGAAATGCCACAGCATTCAAGGGCAATGATGCCGATAGGAAAAGGAGAGCGGCGGAACGAACTTTCATCTTCAACCGACACCAAAAGAAAGCTGCAAAAAGGTTTGGAACCTACTGGCTAGCTGCGGTAGCTATGATCAGATGGACAGATTCTCAACAGCTCATCACCACCATGCCGAGGCGAAATGATTCAGTCTGAGGTATTTGGCACCACGATATCTGCCTCCGACGACAACAACAAAATTCAATCAGCACGAGAAGGGAATACGTTGATGACGTCATTCTTCAGTCAGGGATACGGTACGCGTGTACGTTTGACAGCTCAACTGTCTTAATCCAATCGCGACTGAGTTGGCGATGAAGGAGCCGGGCCTGCGTCAACCGTGCTGTAAATAAGTCAGCGGGAGCTGCGATACCTAGGCAGAAAGACAAATAGAAGAAGGAGGATCATGTTTGAGATTGCACCCTTCTTTCAAGATAGCCCTGGCAACAACACCCGACTCCGTCGTGTGTTGCCGCCCGGCACCATTCCCTCATTGTAACCTTCTTTTTTCTTTAAGCTAGCCCTGGCGACAACACCCGACTTCGTCGTGTGTTGCCGCCCGCTAACCATAATTTTACAGCTGTCATTCCTTTATGTAACTGTAACTTTTGTAGCTTCTGCTGGCTTATTGTATTGAGTGCACTAACCTTGAATAATTATGATTTATTCCAACCCCTAAATTTGTTGAACCTTCAATTTCCAGTTTTGTTGGCTTACGCCTATCTCTATCCCTATATTTTGGCTTCACCGGAATAGGAAACAGGAAACAGGAAATAGGAAATACCAAAAAAAGGGGTGAGGGCTCAGGCAGATAGACTGCCGAGGTAAAGGGGTTTAGATGTACCAGTACAGTATGAACAGCTCCTGTTTACTGGATCCCCACATTGGGTTCGCGGTCCATATCTAGATAAAGCATGGTAGCAATGTTAGTACTGAAAATTCTATAGTAAGCAGCATAACATCTTTTGAGTTTATGGAGTGAAGTTTAAATGTGAACACCATAGTGGATCCAGACATACCAATCCAAAAAGGCAGCTCCACCCCCAGCAACACCCATGGAGTCCACCAGAATCAATGCAACATCATCACCAAAGTGTATCCAACTCTGCACATGCATCCACATAGGTATCCCCGAGCCTCTGCTTGAACTGGATACAAAACAGACGACATTTTGTTAGGACTTGTGGACAGTAGCGAAGCAACAATCAGCAATGCCTCGGAGGAGAAGGACAAACGGATCGAGGGGCTCTTATTGCCTTCACTCCGGTAAAACACTGCATACGAGTAGAGTAGAGAGCAGTAGCTGCTTGTTGCAGACATAGCTCCGTAGAAGAGGAGACGCCATGGTCTCATCGCCGTGTGGCCGTGTGGAAGAAGTCACTGTAGTAGTATTAGTAGTCGCTTGTTGTTGTTGTTATTGTCGCTCTGTGTCGCTCCGTGGAAGAAGAAAGAAGTCACCGATCAATCCGTCCAACGGAAGCAGCCGATCGTCGAACGGCTGCTGCTGCCGCTATCCAAACAAGAGTAGCCTGTCATGGTGGAGTATTAGTAGCCATGGAAGAGGAGTAACCGCTGTAATGAGGAGGTAATAACATCATCTTGCACTACGCTAAAAGCTAGTGTAAAGATCTTTCGAGTGTTTTGAGTTTGAGAGAATGAAAGTTATGAGAGAGATTAGAAAGCTATGAAAACTAATCAACGAGAGAGATCATCATCAAGGAATAGCCATTCAAAACTCTGAGGCGGGCCGACTTTCCTCCGTGTTATTTGTTAGTGACAGAATCCAAGCCCCTCTCAACCCAATGTGGCTGTAGTCTATAGGGGAATCGTTCCATCTTCAAAACCAGCTTTCAATCCAGCCATTGCTGGATGCTTCACCCATCCTGAATCTTCTTCTTCATCAGATGAAACTTCGATGGCATCTCCTGCGCCGGGAAAGAAAGGGATAGCCACCGTCGTTGTTGATCAGCCATTTGTATGTTTTTGAATGGCGCGACGACTTTTGGGTGGCTCTGGACGGTCATTGCAACAAAAGATCCAATTGGGTGCAGCAGGCGCTACTCTCAGCACTTGTTCTGAAATGCATTACAAATGCTCTCATTGAATGGTAGAGAGTGGTTCTTCCTTTCTGCTTTCTGCTGACCGCCAAAAAAGAAAGGCAGCCAAAACACTTCACAATGGAGGAAACACATCGACGGAGAAGACGAACAAGCTCCCTTGGAAGCAAGCCAGGCACCAATGACTCCAACACAAGTAAAGGGCACATCAACAAGGACCACACAGAGCAACCAGAAGGGTGGGGATGAGAGCGACGTTGAAGTGCAAGTATCCTGTGGTAGTGGCTCGACCACTGGGACAAGACAGTGTCTTCCTCTTTGGATCGAAAAGCAGTTAGCAGAAGACATTGAAGGCCAAGGTGGGATCATCGGATTTGACTCTAGAAAGGCTCAAGGATTGTCAGAGCTCTGTGACTATCGATCGCAGGATCTTGGCCAGTCTGAATTTTATGGCCTTCGTGGATCCAATTAGAGGAGAAGAATTTCTCAGAAAGTCACCAAGTGGAAGAAATTAGACAACTTTGTGTACAGGGAAAGGCTGGCTGTGCTTGGACAGCATGGCACAATTCAAGCTACACACGGGCAAGGAGAAAGGACGATGAAAGAAAGCACCAGTACCAGCCCACCAGAAGGAACTGATGAAAGAGCCGAAGCTGCCGGAAATAATCGTCGCCCCGGAAATCGACGATATCTCTCTCGATCTCTCCCAGGACCTTTCACAGCTCACAATTGAAGAAGGCAGCACTGTTACATCATGCAACAAAGAGTGTTGTTTCTAGCAAGCCAAAGGAGAAGACAAAAGATTACCACCCTAGAGTCTCAGAATCAAGCTCAGACGCAGAAAATTACGGAGCCATTGTAACCATGGCCGCTACAAAAAGTATGCTCGAGGCTGTTGTTGCTCTTGTCTTCCTTTGCTTTGATCTTGTTTTCTCAACACTTTGCCTTGTATATTTTTGTAAATTTGTAGTACTCTTCGCGTCATCAATATCAACACTAGCTATCATCAAGGAGAAGGTGTCTTTGCTTTCCGAATTTCAACCTTTCAGCATGGAGGGGTTGAGTGGGGAGAGGGAATTGAGCTTGAAATGTTGGTCGATCCCCGTGATGTGCAACAAGAGTTGTACAAAGTTGAGTACGTTGAAGGTAGCAATGAAGCGACGCTCTACAAGTCAGTCCTTCCGGCTCCCTTTCGCGATGATGCTACCGAATTCGATGCTCGCCACCATAGCAACACGGAGGTTCAAACTGGCAACAGAGCTGCACATACTGTGTACAAATGTTTGCCTCCTGAACAACGCTATCAAAAGTTGACTCTGCGATTCGGCCATGATGTCAAGTTGACAGAAGCTCCATTTTGGAGTCACGCATGGGGTTCATGGGAGAGGGAACTGACACTGCTGAGTTGAAGATGATTTTGTATAGTAAAGCCACCGGCCGCAAGGATTTAAGCAACATCGAGATCTATGGACTTCATGCTCGGCTTTCTTGGAAATTTGGAGACCAGTCAAAGAAAGCTGTGTTGGATGGTGCCGGAGACCGTGGAGCCAAAGCAACTAACGATGCTTTCGGAGGTTTGTAACATGCTGGCTGTTCAGCAATTGCGTGTAAGAAGAACGCTCTAACAATATAAAGACTTTCATTATCTTATTGCATGATTAGATTTCGTGAAGGATATGAGTGCTGCTATCGATGGGGATAGTGTAGGAACTATTACAACAACAGGGGCAACTACCGTCACAAGTGGTTGGTGGCGCCAATCCCATTGTTGTTATTCCGAAAGCACTAACTCATCAACCAGCACCGGGAGGGCTGATGCTTCCATCTGCGTCCACTCACAATCCAAGTAGTAATCTGGTGGGAGCAAACGCTGAAGTTGCTATTAGGCTTTGGTGGAAAGAATAAGGCTGCAACAAACAGTGATGATCCTTATGACATGAAAGCCGCACGGAAAGCAAAGTTCAAGAAGACGGCTGATGGTGAAAACCGAAAGTTGTCTATGCAAGACCGACAGCAGAAATCAAGAGCAAATGCAATAAACCGTGCTCGAACGCAAGATGCCGACAAAACTGTTGAAATAATTGTTCCATTGATGCAAGAGTTCGATGGAGACGTTGCCAAGCAACACTGTGTTCTTGGAACTGAAGGTGTGGTTGCTGCAGATGTGGTTTCTTCTACACAAGCACAGCTTCCACTGCTGCCACCACTGCCACCAATGGCAGATGACGATCTCGAGATCGACGGATTGTTGGAGGACGAAGAAGAATATACCTCGACAGTCTTGCTGCTAGAGCCCTCAACCCCTTTAATTGTGTTTGCTGTTTCCGGTGGTCCCTGCAGGTATACGAGTAGGGTTACACTACAAATAAGCCAGCAAAAACTGAAGTATCCTGGGGTGGTGCTTTTAACCACTAAAGCTATTTATATGTATCCTAACTAGGCGTACTGCTTCTACAAGGAAACTCTAAAGCCAGCGAAAGCTATAACTAGTATTCTAGCTTGCTACAGGAATCTGCTTCTACCTAGTTAGGGGTATCTGCTTCTAGCTAGCTAGGGGGTCTGCTGCTAGCTAGCTACTGGGGGTGTCTGCTTTTAGCTAGCTAAGCAATAGAGGTATTTGCTTGTAGCTAGCAAGTAGCGGTATCTGCTTCTACACTGAAACCAAAAAGCTGAGGTACCACAGCGGAGCTGGCTTACGACGAGGACAGCCTCAGTAGCTTCGATGAGAAGAGTACAGAGCAATACGGGGACAACATAAAACCTAACAAGAAGTTTAAAAAAGCGTTTGACTAGAGACTTCAAACAATGGCTCACCCAATTCCATTCGATATTGGGTGATTACTGCGGATGCCTCGAAGCCAAGGCCAAATTTGTCTATTCCGTGTCGGAACCCAGCAGAGTCAGTGCACTTGAAATGCTTGAGCAGACCATTCACTGCCTCATGCGGCATCGAGCTCGATTCTTAAATTTGGATACCTCAGGAGAGTCAAGTGAATTGGGGCGTGTAATGACATCGTCGTAGCCTCGATATCCATTGTCGGCGATGACTTTTTTGTTGATTGACCGAAGCTTTTCACACAAGCCATCTTCAGAGGTGAACATCTTAATATCATTCGTACCGGCTGCAAACGGGCCGTTGATCCAGATAATTTTGCTCTCTTTCAACAAGAGTGCAATCTCACAATTATACCCAGCAGAATGATGCTTCCACGAAAACACAGATGTGTCTTTTGGGCATCTCTCATGCGTCGGCTCCCATGATTGACCTACGTAGAGCCAGTGACCAAGACAAAAAAATCAGTCCTTGTCGCCGAGCCTGGCTTTGGTCGATGCCGTCGGTGGTCTGCTCAAGCCTTTCCGTTTTCGTTGCGCAGGCGAACTCAGAGCATCCATCTGATCTCCAATCGCCCGCTTCAAAACCTCCATTTGACTCTTGACAACTTCATCAATGTTATCTTTTTCGTCAATTTCCCCCAAGGACCCAAAATCCGAGAGGAAAAAGTCCAACTTTGAGTCCTCTTCGGAATGCTTTTTGGGCTGCAAAAGAAAATGTCTCCAGCGCAGGTCGGACTTTCTGTAGCGAAGCTTGTGTTTTGTCGCAATCTCCTTTAGCTTCGTCTCGATACGTGGGAGCACGCTCCTGCGCGTCGCTTCATTCTCTATCTCAACACCGAAAGGCATCAGCAAGCAAGGTGTTCCACCTAAGTATTTGCGATGGACAATACCGAATTCATTTGAGTAAATTTTCTTCCACCTCTCTACTTCCACTTTAGCGGTCTCCCAGCGAGCGCTCTTGCTTGCATCTTCTTCCCTTCTCCTTTCGTCATCTGTGCAAGCTGAAGACTTTTCGATGTGGTAAACTTTGATAGCACAGAGACGTGCTGTGTTGTTGCAGCAACGTACACTGTACGTTCGTGTCCTTCTCCAGCCTTGGTTAGCATGTAGTAATGAGCGCTGTTTGGCATAGGCATTACGCCCACTTGTGCCCGAAACTCGACTCTTTCTTTACCATCCTTGTATTTCATCGGGATGAGGACAAAGCCATGGCCATTTCTGTGGACTTTAAATAAAGAAAAGGCGATGACCCAGATGATCCCCATCACGCACAACTAGGAGCGGACTCGAGGGGGGCAAGGTTACGCAGTATCGATACGCAACTTCCAAAGCTTGAAGTAGGCTCGGAAAGACAGCTGGGCCTTCGTGAATTTCAGAGTAGTACACTGTTCGTGGTAGCTCGACTTTCTCAAGTTCAAGTTCATTTTCGTCCTGTCGAGATTCGACGACTTTGATGACTCTCTTCTGGGGACGGTAAGGACTGGATTTCCTTGTACCGGTACTGCAATACTCTTCCTCGGTCTGAGGAAAATCTCTTGTTGGTTGCACCCCACCATCATTCAAGGTGGCTCGAGCAGAACTCAAAACGATCTTATGTTGCTCATCCGTTCCGCAGTCTTCCAACGTCACCAGAGCCATCTTGTCATAGGTCATTATGGCTCCCATTGGTTGTTCAATACCCAGTTGTTTAATTGCATAAAGATAGCTCCAGAGTTGGCCTGATGGGTTTCTTGATTCGAACACTTCATTGGCCTTTCCTGGGCTCTTGACCTCAATGGCAAAAAACATGCGCCCTTCACGCTTTTAAAAGCACAACTACCATGTCAGGTTTGATCGTGTACAAGGCGATCTCGAGGTGTGCCGCGACGTATTGCGCGAGATCCAAAGAATGAATCGCATCTTGGACCAGTTGCAAAACCAACTGTTGAACGTCGCACTCATTGACATAACGGAAATCGCCCTTCTTCACTGCATAAAGAGCTCCAAGCACACTGGGCAAAAGTCTACCATCTTTGTGGTTTTTGTTGGAATAACAACATCTGCTGCTTTCAACCACACATCCGTTTTAAGCGGCTTGATTTCTGCCTCGGGGACTTTCATTTCCACTTCCTCACTTGTGCCATCATCGTTCTGGATGCTTTCCCTCCGCGTGTTTCCGTGGATACTAGGCGTAACATTAAGATTCAATTCGATTGGCGGTGATTTTTAAAAAGACATTGCCGTCCAAGTACGTATCCCTCACGGTCGTGCGAACCACATCTTGCGTCTCTGTCCAAAGTGCAAGCCTCTCTCTCTCTCTTTCCACACCAAATCGCCTAAAAGCACTCGAACCGTCATCGGTTCCAATCCAGCATAATCAGGGCGCCACACACCCAAACTCTTGGCTTCCTCGATCAGCTCTTGGAAGTCTTTGTCGTCCTCTTGCGTGCTTGCCATCGTTTCGATCAACATTCCTTGTTGTGAGGGATATATGCCGCTTCCTTCGGCGAGACTGGCAGCAACGTTGTCTCAGGCGCCAACCATTGCAGCGAAAACACATTCGCCGTGGAGGTTTAGTGTCGCCGTCGTCATTTTCCACCCCAAAATGTGGGGTGTCTGCAATGTTGTACAAAAAGCTAGTAATTTTCGAGGAATTATTTCACACCAACCAACCATCTTGAGCGGACGAGATGTCGACAATGGCACTTGTGTCCCTCAAGCAACTAGCTAGGCAGCTATTCCTCTTCCTGGGTTCCCATGAGTGCATGTTGACGGTACCATACCGGATACCGGTACCGGTACTGCGGTACCACTGTCCTGTAACTTCGTGCTCTTGTAAAGATACAGTACAAAAGATCCGTCGCATCTTCCCCGCTCCAGGCCAGTCCCCTCCAGCTCGACAAATTCGATTGTTGCCAATCTTGGAAGTGAGTGTTTTTGGGGGAATGCACACCAGCCAGCAATACTAATTCCAATAGTAATGGCCACAATGAAACAAAAAGCGTAAACGTAGATGTTTTGCAAACAATTGATCTCTAATTGGTCGCTCCTGCCCGCTCGCCAAGAAGCTCCGTGACGTTGTGTTATCTGTCTCAATCAGAGCAGCAACGTTCACAACGATTTCAAGTTGATCTACTGACTGTATTACACAACAACTGCCGGTAGAATAATGCAAGTTGTTTGAACTTGAGCAGATGAATGCGACTACAAACAACGGCTTTCTATTTGACTGCTACCGCCTTTAGAAGAAGAGAATCCTCTGTTGAAGCCATTATCTTCCTCTTGGTATATACCTGTAATAGCTCCTGCAATCATTAGCTGCTGCCATGTCCACGAAATCAAGTTTGTCCGTCTCCTTAGCCAAAGGTAGCTACGGCGAAGGACTCCCTTCGGAGCCCCAAATGACTATGGATTCTGTGGATAGCAATACAGACTTGGAAAGCTCTCCGCCCCGACCTCCCGCCGCTGTTTCTTCCGCAGCCGCAGTTGGCGACGATGAACATGATGTCAATCAAGACGAGGGTATTACCACACCTCCCGCTCATGCTGCCTTGAAGGCTCCCTTGAGCAGCCAGTCGTTACCAAGCGTACAATCTACAGATCAGTTTCTGGAACTGAACAATCGACTGGATCTTTCCGACTCGAGTGCCATCATGTCGAGTCTGAAAAAAGACGGCAAGATCAAGACGACCGTAGCAATGAATGGGCAAGGGAGTTCCAGCAACCTCCGATCTTCTTCCCGACTGTCCTTCTTGTCGTCGCGACAGTTATCTCGGCGTCCTTCCATGCATGATACCCACGACGAAGAACCGCTACGAAGAGGAGAATTCCTCTACTATCTTTACAGCTTTGCAATTCTGGGAACCGTCATTCGCGTCTATATGGGGCGTTTGTTTGGTGGCGATTGCGAACATCCCGGCGTCTACACGGATTGGCTGTCGCCTTTATCACAAAAGATTTGCGTCACCAACTCGGGTGAAACCACACAGACAGGAGGAGCTCTGTTCCTCGACCTGCCCGCAAATATCCTGGGAAGCTTCGTTATGGGCTTGGTGAGCTCGCTTAACCCAGAGGGCGGACGGAAAGGTAGCAAGCTTCCTTGGCTACACAATGAACATCCGCTGCAGAAACATGAAGGAATACATCATGCAATCAAGGTAGGCTAGTCAAGGATTTGCCTCGGGAAAAAGGCTGATTCCGCCTTTATACTAACTGTGCCTTCGTCTCTTCTTATTATGTTTACGCAGGTTGGCCTCTGCGGGTCTCTTACTACATGTAAGCCATATCTTGCGCGTCTTGGAGGAGCGACTGATTGAATGAGAATCTCACGTGACGTTTTCCTTTTTCATACTAGTTGCTTCGTGGAACAGCCAAATGATCATCATGATGGATGGGACGTACACGGAACTTGGACCCCAGGTTGTCCCCGCTTTGTTTGGCTACATTGTAGGAATGGCTTGTGCAGTTTGGGGTTTCACCGTTGGAGGTCGAGTACACGAGTGGGTATATGACTGGAGCAATGGTATCAAAGACAGCGAATCGGACGAAAGGCATCCGATTCCGTCCTTACTGAGCAGCAGTGATGAATTGGATGATGACGAAGAGCAAGCGCCTACCAGTTGGGACTCGGAAGAATCTGGCCCGCGTCAACGTATTCCGTCCAAAAAGTTTTCATCGTCGACAAAGAAAGAAGTTAAAAGACAGCCAGTTAGAAGGGTTACGGTCCTGGCGCACAAAGTGGGGCCATTTCTGCTTGCTGTTGGAATTCTTGCGGGTTTTGTTGTTGGCTTCACTGTTTACGACAATCAATTTTACAGGGAGGCATTTGCTTGCTCTCTCCTGACGCCTGTGGGCGTTCATCTTCGATGGAAACTTGCGTCTTTGAATGGACGCGGTTTTGGAGAAGCTCATAAATATCAGTGGGTACCTGTTGGGACTTTTACGGGCAATATGATCGCAGCGGTCATCTCGATTGTATTTGCAGCTGTGGACATGAAGTTCAGTCACCGGGCCGGGTATTCTAATGATCATCCTTGGGTCATCGCCCTCGTCGTTGGAATGAAGACGGGGCTTGCGGGTGCTCTCTCGACTGTGTCGTCCTTCGTGAAAGAGAGTGTGAACTTGGCTTCGATGCACCCGACACATGCAAAGGCTTACATTTACTCCGCAACAACAATAAGTTGCGCTATGCTTCTGGGCATAACCATCTACGCTCCATGGATGAGATACGGTTAACACAACAACCTGCGACAACTTCCTGTACAACTCTTGTAATTCATTTGAATCTAAATAGTTTTAGAATATGTTTTTTGAACCATCTAGCTGGCTAGCTAGATCGTTGCTGCACATGTAACGTAAACATTCGGTATGCCCAATACAGATAAGAGTAATTCCTTCCCGGCGGATCGATCGATCAGAGGTCTACGGAGTTGTCTTCCTTCGAATGTTGAGATCAACGTTTACTTGCTGATGAGATTTGAAGCAGCCACTTACTACAGTCATCACCTAGATCGTCCCATACCAATGTTGAACGCAAACAATGTCGCGTCGCCGCCTCGACTTGTCGCATGGTTGCCCTTGCAAAGTACTCGATCGCAACGATCACGTAATTGAGATCAGGGTGATTCTGCATAATTTCACTGTCGCTCTTCTGGGTGAGGTTGATTGGAACTGTGCCACCGACGAGGTTTGTCGGTTGTTCGTTTCGAATAAGTTCCAAGTAGCGAGCAAACTGAATGAGGCCGGTATGCAGACCAAATGCCGAGTTCAATGCGGCGGAAATGAGCTGGGACTCTGGCGTCAGACTCCAGTTTGTGGCATTTCTCTGGGCATTCCGAAACGCTTGCTCAAAGCACCTTGCCAACGCGATCACGGAGTATTCAGCTGCTACCAATGTCCCTGGTCGAATGAGCCATGTCGACGTTTCAGGTGAAAACTCGGAGCATTTTGAGAGCGCAACTCCCAGGCCGGCTGCGTAGGTCGACAGAGAGCGAATAAGAAGCACTGCTCGAGGCAGCTGTGCTTGCATCATCCAATATTCAATCGTCTCGCGATGACGATGATCCATCGGGAAAAGATTGTCGCTTGCAACCAGCCTGCCACTGGTCTCCTGTTGCTGTTTGTTGTCGTGAGGAATCATGCTTCCTCCCAAAGATTCGAGTATGGAGTGTCTCAAAATGTCTTCTTCTAGCGAAGCTTCAGGAGTTCGTCTCACGGAGGAATCCCCCAGCATAATTCTCGCCATTGCAAGGGCGGCATCGCTATTGCGACGAGCCTCCTGTCGTTGCTGTCGTTCGAGTGAATTGTTAGGTGCTCCTACTTGTTCGACAAGAGCAGCATTACCATGCAGAATGGAGTGGAGCATTGCATCCACAAGGTGGTTTTCGTCTTCCCCGCCAGTGACCTCCCGCACCAATCGTGTCAGTTTTGACCCGGGGATGCAAAGAACCGCCTTGGCTGACTCTTCCAGGATGGCCACGTACAAACCAACTCCTGATGATGCCGCCAAGGAGAAGGATAGCAACCACAACGTAGCCGTGTCAAGGAGTGTTTGGACAATGTCGACTTGACCACTTTCCGAGGAAATCAGAAGAACTGCAACCATGAACGTTGCGATTGTGTAGAACAAGACATGTTTCAAAGCCTCCACCAAAATGGATCCGCCAATCGGCAGGAAAAAGGAACCCGTCATTGGTTTGTTGTATTGCTTCGGATTGAGTTCGTGGGAACTGCCCGAAAAGTCAGCGAATACCAACTGAAGGACCATGGTGAGACATGTCGTGGCGACCACCAGTAGCCGTAGTCGTCTGGTTTCGTCAAATCCCAGCCGATCCGTTGGGAATAGCAATGCCCACATGGGCAATATCATGATCTCCGCTGTGATCCATCCCAGGATTACAGTAATGATTAGGTTGCTTGTACCCGCTGTGATGGTGGGACATTGATAGCGTCGACCGAACCGCTGTGATGGTGGGTTTACATCCATCATCATGTTTTGACGCAATTGAGGATTGGATGTTCGATTGATCAAGGACCGAAGCCAGTTTCGTGGGATATTGAAGGATTCATTGGAGATCAGCGGCACTGTGGAGCATCGCACTACGGTAGGGGAAGCAGCAGATTGCAAATTCCCAAAAAAGTAAGGAAAACTGTCTTTCAATAATAATCACAAGCACAGGTTGCCAAATAAATCTCCTGTTGTGCTGAACAGTACCGGTACTTACCTAAGGATGGCTGACCGACAAATCTGAGGAGTACGGCTGTCCCCAAAAGCAACAATCCAAAAGCAGGCCGAATTCCAATTCCCCAGTCAATTGTCGGAGCCCACTGCAGAAACTCTGGATGAAAATCCTTGGCACTAGTGAGACTCGCCATCAAATGGATGAGGGAGCCACTTAGGAGCATTACGGAGATTGGAAGACGGAATTGACTCTTTTCATAGGCAGCTTGTAGCTTTTCGGGATTGGGAGCCACCGATTTGAGCACAGAATACCAAATGAACGTGAACAAGGTGCTCGTCAAAAGACAAATGGTTCCAAATCCTCCCGTAAACCAGTTCAATGTCGCAAAGAGCACGTTGACCAATACTGGCGCTGTGGCGCTGATTGCTGGCAGGAAAAGAATCACAAAAGCAAGACGCTTGTAGCAAAGGCACATGGAAGCGACTTGGCTGAGTGTAGGCAACTGGGATTGAGGATTGTCGGATTGTACTTGGGGTTTTGGCGGAAAGGGAGGTGTCGCTCTCACAACTCCTCTTGGATTTGCTACTTGCGGCGATGGATGCCCCATGCCTGGTGCATTGGCACCATGGCGCTGCCCGAATGCCATCGACATGACTATTTCTACTGTACCTGACTATACTCTAGAGTACTAATCGACGACGCTCTGATCAAAACAGAAGAACAATTTGAATGTCGCAGCAAGGATCCGGACGACAACAACAACGACAATACCAAAGCCAACTGAGGTTTTGAGGGCGAAATGAATGAAGGCGCCGATGGTGGAAGCAAAATGGAAAAAATGCCAAAATGCAATCTGAAATTTGTCGAATTCGATTTATAAAAGCCAGCCAAAGCTGTGTCGATATCCATCCACAGTGTGTCTGGTGCAAAGTGTGTGACACAAAGGCATTGATTGCGTTCTCAGTTCTGACAATCAATGTGAAGCTCGCATCATTTTTTTGTTCCACCATGCAAGAAGCCAAGAAGCCCTACGATTCGCTGTTCATGATGATGAATGCAATCCTTGTTTATTCCTTCAACTGATCTCATTCGATTCTGATTCAAGCAAGTGGAAGAATTGTAGGTGTGAAGTGATTGCTTGCTTCCTGCCTTTGCTGTTCGCTGTGCATCTGGCTGTGCACCATACAGGCATACCTGGAGCACCAGCTGAGGGACGGTTGATCGAAGCAAGATGTTGCGCGTGTGGTACCAACGACGAGCGCATATGGTCGTACCAACCAAGGTGCCTTGTGTGCATCAGATGTGCCGACGCATGCCAACATTTGCAAGTCAGGTACAGCTGGAAGCAGTGCAAGGTGAAGAATCATTGGTCCTGCCGGGACGCTTGCCTTCCCAGATGGATGCGATATTGTTGCGTCAAAACCTTGTTTCTTTGCTGCTGAGCCGGACCAACTATAATATCTACAGCGGCGACATGTCTGATTTGGAACAGGCGAAACGTCAACGTCCTCTGGTCCACATTTTCCACATGTCTGGTGGTCAACTTCTCGAGGAGATCGAAAACCACATGCAGTTGGAACTCAATCATCATCATCATTCGTCTCGAACCACAGAGGAACAAGACGTGAAAGTGGAGGAGAAGGAGGAGGAATGACCAAGGCAGGAGATGAGTACTAGCTAGTAGCTGGATAAACGTTCTACTTATTAATAGAAGACACCACAATTGCGGCAACACAATGTTTCGTCGCCTAAAATCCGAAGTACAACGAACGATCGATCGATCTAGCTAGTAGCAAGGTTCATTTATCGAGATGAGGACCGTCGACGTGACATAGATAGCTTGTGGTTCATTAAAGATCTACATGTACCGTATGATCTACATGGTGCGCTCGAGTGCCCTTTCGTGCACGCTTCAGGGCCACATGAGGAAAAATGAATTGATTATACATGTACAGTTAGTTATAGCGTAGCTCAATGTAAGTATTAGAAAACATCCGGAAGCAAAGCAAGAGCTTTTCCGATATGAAACTTCCTAATTTGCTTGTATCAGTAGTGTGTTGTAGCCGGTTGCTTCTGGGGGGTAAAAGAAGGATCGTACAGGTTCCCAGCTGTTGCTGCATTGAAGCAGATACAATGGGACTTGTACAATCAGGCTCACCGCAAACCCCGTGAAGATTTCAGCTGGTGTGTGGAAGTAAGCAGATGTCTTGAATGCACCCAGAAATGTAATGAAATACAGATATAGCATCCCACTAACCAAAACCATTGGCATGACTCGGTTGTCTCGTTTCCAGAATGGGTTGGATACACAATACAAAGTTTCTGCCAGGGCACAAGGGATGAGTTGTGCAAAGTATAGTACCACATGATCTGAAAAGTCAAACGTTCGTCCAGAGCAAGGAGTTTGGAATTGCTTGAGAAAATCCCGGTACCAGCAAGGTTCATCATTCGAGGGTGTAGGCACTACCAGGTGCTCTAGGTAGTTGAAGAAAGAATAGAGTACCACCCCACGGCACAGCAGGCAAGCAAAGGCCATGATCAGTCTTCTCAGTGTAGTGGATTGAATCAGGCCAGACACGGAAAAGTCTACGGATGCTGGTAGTGTGCTTTGGGAGAACTGATAAAGCCTCAGCAAGCCTCTGAGCAGAAAGGGAAAGATGGGTAGCAACCACGCTTCCGGAAACTGAGATAGTCTCCTCGCAAAGGGTAGAAACGCTGGTGTCTTGTCGCAAATCCCAAGCAGCCCCTTTCGTTCGTAGCCCATGGGACAGCAGATTAGAGCATCCTCGTCGGTCTCGGAGTTGGATAATACATCTACAAAGGCTCTGAAACACTGACCAGGGACATTGGTTGGGTCCACTGACATGTACTTTCTGTTAGTCACATTGAAGAGAAAGTTTGAAGTTGAATTGTGAGCAAAACAGCTTCATTCATGCCATCAACTAGCCATCACCATCAAGATAATGGTAATTAACCTACCTTTGGTGATTATTCAGAGATCCGTAGGCAAGCACAGCCAGGGTGACACAAAAGTGGGCGGCCCACGCCTTTTGCATGAGGGACATTTTCCAACTCGAGTATCGCTGAGGGGAAACACTTCTTGAAATTCGTCTTGTAGTAAGCGGAAGCATACACAATGCTTTCGTTTGCAGCGACGCTACTATTATAGATATGTCTAGCTCAGCAGCAATGGCTTGCTCACCACTACGGGCTTCTACTACTGTTGTTGCCTTTTTGCACATTGATGGGCGTGTTGCTGATATCACTCTCACAAACGACTTCTCTATCGGATTGTGATCGCCTCGGGTCGCGGAAGAATGTCGAAAGGTCGATGCAAGAAACGATCAGCACCTTGCCAGACTTACTTGATGGGTGCTACCACTCACTTAGACCACCTGTGCCTACACGTTGCCAATTTGAAGAGCTGTTCAACTCCAGCTTGCCGCAACCAATTCGAGTCATGAAGGAGAAACCTCCTTGATGTTTGTTGGTGAGGTGGCAAGCCAGCATTACTGGGCTGGGCTTTGGTTACGTGGCACACCAGACACTCGATATCACGAGCCCTCCACGGCGAGCGCTGTGACGCTCTTGCTCGTTTCTCTCTCTCGGACAGAGTATCGGAACGATTTTTGGCCCCGCCGACTCACCTTGAAGTCGGCATGACATCCGTATCATGGATGCTGTGCATACTCCGCAAAGAGCAATCAGATCCCGCTTTCACAGTGGGTACCGCTGTACCGGTACCGGTAGGATTGAATCCAGTCAAGATGCTTACATTGTGATGGGATCGCAGCTGCATCATCAGGTGTCTGGGCTAGCTTCATCAAGCTCTGTGAATGCTTTTTAATTAAAACTTCTAGCTAGCTAGAGCTGAAGAAAGGGAAACGAGACAAAGCTGTGCATTTCCTTCAATAGCTGTATGGCTGCCGTGCCGCGATTCTTCGGCTCTGAAGAAAGCTTGTAGGATTCTATGCAACCTTGTAGTAATGTAAAGCTAAGTTTTTCAATCCAGCAGAGCATGCAACGGAGGCGAACTCCTCGAAAAGGAATTTATCATCTCAGATTAGTTCATCTCTTTGCTAGCTAGCTAGAGTACGGTAGTTGATTGACCTTGCGGATGCTACATGTAGCTATCGGTACTAGCTAGCCAGTACATGTACCGGTATCATAGTCTAGTGTTTGCACATTGAGCCCAAGGCCAGACGGACCACAAACCGTGGATTTCGTCGAGCTTCACCAAGCCAACTGGCTTGCATTGGTAGCTCTAATGGCTTTTAGTTGATTGAATGGATTCCCCTTGGATCCTCCTGCGCGCAACGTAGCCGTTCGCAACGATCCGATCCGATAGAAGCATGTCCAAACTCATTTTTCATCTCCTTTTATCCCACGATGAATGCTGCGAGATGACAATGGCACAGCTCCTTAATATTACCATGCCAAGCTTTCTGGGGACAAACCGCAACAGATACACTCCTGAGCGGCTCAAGTGTCTTTATTCGGACCTCTTGTATGCGATTGATGTCTCGAGAGAAGATCTCAGTCGTCGTGGCCGCGTAGAAGACGAATGGGAAGACGTCATCAAGGGTAACAACAATGACAATCCACTATCACTTCATGGGTTAAGGCGAAGTTTGGCCACTCTACCAATCATTGGCAGACACAGGCGTCGAACCAGCCCTGTCATCAGACTTAATAGTCGGAAAGGACTAGATTTAGCCTTTCGATTCTTAGCCGCAACCAAAGCACCTGACAAGGAAGGGGACAATGGCGGTGCTGCAGCTCTCAGGGACGATGACTCTGTGATGGCTTTAAATGCAGCCAAACGAATTGAACGAAGAGTTGTAGCCATTATCCGAGAAATTGGTGAAGTGGTGGTAAACGGCGGGAACACTGTTTCCACTAATAGCACCAACAATGGTAACAGGATGGAAAACCTTACATCCTGCTTTGAGTACTTTTGTGAGAAGAACATGCTTTCCCTCTTGGTAGACATTGCCAAACAGAATCCTGGTAATCAAGCAAAAGCTGCATCGGCAAGGCATGGCGTTGTTTGGAGTCCATTGGTCAAGGCACAAGTAATGCAGACGGTGTCCCTGTTGGTTGCCTCCGGTGGAAGGAATCCGCACACCCTCTTCTACATCCTTTCTCAAAACGCCATCAACGACTTGATTTCATGCATGCTACCTCTGCATCAGTGGACTGATCCGGCTTTGGAAAAGCTAGTGCATCCCTTCGTCGACGTGCTCAAGAACATGGGGCTTCAGCTCGCTGGAACACCTGATCTGTTTCCTTTTTTCACGCGAAGGGACACTTTCCCACTGTTTCATGCAGCTCTGGAAATTGGAACTAGTGCATATGCTCAGACTGATTCGTTTGTCCACATCAACTGCTTGAGTATCATTGTCAACACCATGAAGATCACAACCCCACAAGTTCAAGCCTGGGTATCATCCGCCATACCGGAGCTCCGGAAGCTGTCCAATCACTTTTGCCAGCTTTTGCTCAACCGGTACTATCGCATTGCTGACTTAACAACTGGCCCCGTTGTTGATCCTCTTCGCAATAGTGCTGTGGAGGCACAGTTGTTGGCATTGCATGATCAGATCCATGTGTTGAATGATGTCTTTAGCTGTGGAATTCCTGGCCTCAATGTACGACTCTGTGAGCTGTTAATGCGCAGAGTCGTCAGCGTGGTATTGCAAAACTTGGAGCCTCCGAGGGAACGAGCGTTTATCAGTGTCGGGCTCTGCGATCTGGATGTGACCCCGCAACGAGAATGTCTGGCGCAGGTGTCCTGCATGTTCTTAGCGCAACTATTTCACCACGTGGACTACCTACCTTTCCTGCGAATGCTAGCTGTGGCTTTATTCCATCCCAAGTCTACCCCGCTCCTGGTCAATCACAGTGATAGACAAGGCAAGTTAGCGTTCGGTCCTGTGAACGAAGAAGACTACGTTTTTGTGCCTGCGTTGGATGCCATTGCTCAAGGAAAGGGAGCAAAGAATGACACGTTGCTAGACAACCCTTTTCGTAGGTCGCTGCTACAGACGTTGAGAGGCGATGTAAGTTGTTGTGTTCTGGAGCACTGGCGTGGTTACATGTCTTTTGCTTCCATCCTCATGTTTCTTCATTGATTGAATCACTCTTTTTCCGCACTCCGTGTTGGAGCTCAGTTTGGAGAATGGAGATTTTCGGTTGCCGCAATCGTTGTTGAAAGTGTGCTTGAGTCGGAGGCATTTGACATGGAAACCCTACAGATTCTCGAAATCGTTCCTCGCAGGAAAAAGGACCATCCTGATGGAGCAGATACGGACAAGGAAGAGAAAACTGAAGCTGTCGGCACGGCAGAAGACAGTTGCTGGTACCAACCAACAGAAGTTGAGCATGCGCTGACACACTTTTTGCTCGAAATGCCCAAGTCAATGTTGTCATCTGTATCCAAAACTTGCCTCGAATGTGCCGGATCCATCGCTTTGTCACTTTTGCACAAGTGCGCCCTGAGTGTGACCGACAATGGCGTTGAAGTCGGACCTTTTCAACTCGCTTCTATGCCGCTATGGCAGGCTATCTTCCAAACAAAGGCAACCTATTGTAAGGAAGCTCTTGAATCACAAAGAACCTTGGAGGTTTCAGATATCTTTCTGGAATTGGCAGAGTTTGCAATTTGCAATCGTTACAAAAAAGTAGCGTCGTCCTCTGAACGATTGACGTTTGGATCCCAACCAACAGCTACTTATGCCTGCCACTTGTCACAAATGGGATGCCCTGTGCTCGCTGAATCCGCCGAACTTTTAGTCCGCAAGTTTCGCTTTCTCAACTATACCGATGTGGAAGAAGCGAGGTTTCACATTGAATCGGCTATTCACTTTCGTGCATTGTGCAAGACGCTGGTGGCATTTTCCGAAAAACTCGACAATCATCATGCCAAGCGACAAGCCCGAGGTGGTACCGAAAGGTCGAATGGCAATGACAGGTCGAGTGCAGATCTGGCAATGGACATGTTGGATGTTGCCGATGAGTTTGCGTTGACGTTCGGTGGTCTCGGGAGTCGTCCAGATGCTCGCATGGATCTTGACCTCCGAGGACGAATGACATTTTCTTGTTTCCTCTCCACTGCCACTGTGTCCGGTGCGATGCCTACTGCGCCACCAGAGACATCCAAATTGTCTCTTGTAGTTGACCCTACTGACTTCTATGTTGTCCGAGAACGTGGAGTTTCACTGGGTGGCATTTTGTGCCGTGTGGGATTGCAAAAGGTGATTGCTGCGGCTTCCGATGGGCAGTGGTTGCATTTGGCAGTCCGCCATCAAGACGTGGGGTGTTTGATAAAGAATGGTACATGTCGACTTGCACAATCCCTGGTAAATGCAATTACCTGCTGGGCATCGTGGATGTTTTGCTCACACAGCTGCTGTTCATTGTTTTGCTAGGAAACATGATACTTCAGTTTGAAAATGCCGGGACATGCCTAATTGTCAGAGAGTACTTGGATCGCAGCCGAAACACTGTAAGGCGCGAGCTCATGGAACGTTTCCGTACATTGATAGAACCTGATACAGTACTGGAGCAGCGGCAGCCCAGAGCTCCAGTGAGGGAAGAAATGGCCGACAAAGTTGGGTTGGCCTGAATCTGTAGAGCAAGTTACTAAGAGTAGGGAATAACTTTCAAGGTTTGGTTAAAGATACTAGTATTGCCTAGAAGGTTTAAAAGTACAGCTTGTAAGCCGGGATGAGCGAATGTCCAGCAGGCACAACGTGGCGAGATTTACTGAGTCTGTTTGTTGACCAGCCCGCATAAAACAGTGCTTGAGAGGTACCGGTATCCTTTGCTTCATCTGCGCTGCTTCTACACTGGATTGAATCGAGCACTTTGAATATCTGCCAGGCGGTTCGAGTACAATGTGAAAAAACCCTTCCGAAAACAATCCCCGGCCAGTTTTACTTCACATGTATCCGGGACGCTCAAATGAGGGAAGGAAAAGGCTCCGGCTGAAAGCAAAACATGACCAGCATTGCTTGTCATGCTTTCGTATTGATCCTGTGTGAGAACTGGCAAGATCCCGCCATGTGGAGCATAGGAGCCGCCCGAAGATTCAAAAGTTTGGAGTTGAGGGCAAGCACAAGTTACCCACATCCTTTTGGGGATGTTTTCGGCGACAAGCGTTTCTAAGGATGGCGACTGAATGTGAAAGCGCCATCCATTGGCTCCTTCTCTGGTTGAAGATGCCAATTTCAAACAACGGAGACTGGGGAGTTTTTGGATGAGTTTTGTGACCACGTTGGAATCTACCTGCATCTCCAATCCAAGTTTCTTTCCACAATATCCCAAAGAGACTTCCAAAGATTCAATTGATGCCAGCGAAAACAAAGAGCCATCAATGTAGCCAGTGTAATTGAGACTGTTGGCTGGCAAAGTGACAGCAACGGACAACTCTCTAAGCTTTGGGCAGTTCTCCCCAATTGCCTTGAACAGTTCCTTTTGTGCATGTTGGAGGCGTACAGCCTCCACGTTGTCCGTGGCATCTAGGTCAACCACTCTGGCCTGCAATGGTGTGTATTGTGGCCAGCTTGATTCCTCTACTCTGAGCATATTGACACGGTTGGCAATCAATTTTGTCGCATGTCTTGTGTCACAATCTCGGATGAGCTCAATAAGGAATGGAAAGTCTGCCAAGGATGCATAGCCCAAATTCAGGGTTTGTATCTTAATTCTGTGTTTCTTCATCATACTTCCAAGAGTAGGAACTGCATGTGTAGGACAATTGCCAAAATCAACCTGTACAGGACCAATTACATCCGAAAGAATCATATCAATCGAGTTCTTCCACTTCTGGCTGACGGCTCGAACATGACCACGGATACTTCCTGCCTGGTTTCGAAGCCAAACATTGTGATTCCCTCTTTCGTCGTTGTTAGGAGCTTTCAAGAGAAAAGAAAAGACCAGCTTCAAAGTTTCCTCATCTAGAACCTTGAGCGGATCTGTTTCACTGGGTGGATGCTCAAATCCTCCTTTTCGCCACTTGATATCGGTTGTCATGTTTGTAGTACCACATGCTTCCTCGTCCTGATCAAGCCGCACTGTCATCCAACATCCTCGCTCTGCATAGTGGACAACAAATGCCTTTTTCTTGTTGTAGAGTCGCTTGGCACCTGTCCCACCCTTCAGCAGGATTGCCTGGCCCACTAATGGCTTTTGACGTAAAGCAGTAGCCTTTCGTGCAGCTACTTTGGATGATTTGGCCATGGTTTTAGTTTGGTACTTTGGTACCGGTACTGGCTACCAGGTACTGGCTACTGTATCCAAGCTACGGCTTTTGAATTGCTTCTTGACAATGACAAGGTCAGGCACGGCACACGAACTTCTAGCTCTACAGGTAGCTAGCTAGCTAGCTAGCTAGCTAGCTAGCTAGCTAGTAGCGACAGTGCAAACAAAATAACGGATCCACACAATTCGGCGGTTTCGAATAGCCGAATTTGAATCCATCGATTTGAGAATCTTCCGGCGGGGCCAAAGCTCTATGCCAACACTGTCGGTAATGGGTACCGTATATGGAAGCTCTACAGTCATAGCTAGCTAGGAAAGCAAAGATCTTCCAAGAAATGTTTCGCACTTTGCACTTTGCAGTAGCTAGCTAGCGCCGCACATCAGGTCTCCATTTCTGCTTCCTTGTTTGATGTTGACCATGATAAACACCCTCGCAAAGAGTGTTGCCCCGCTATTGGTGACGCTTGCTCTTTTGGTTTTCGGACCAAACTTCTCATCTGCTCAAGGCTTAGGCTCAGCTTGCACCTGCCAGTTTCGAGACTTTCTCGACGTCTTGACGGATGAAGCTTCGATTGGGACAGCCAAACCTGACAACCACTTGGATCCGTACACGCCCAACTCCCAGTATGACTCGGATATTTGGTTCACATCCGTCTACTACGGTGAAGAATTGGCCAACCCAACCGTTACCTATCGATTCTGTGAGCACCAAAGAACTTTTACTGTCTTTACGCCCGACAGCTATGCTTCCCCGTCCTGCAATGTGGTACTGTCTGACACACCCGAGTGCTCCGAGTGGAAGTCCAAACAGATTCCAGATGAAACCAACTTTCGCATCTTTCGACATCTCGTTGGAACAGGGAGCGAAATTCCACTGGAGGATATGGTAACGGAGGTGGATGCTGTGTGTGGAACCTCTTGTCCCAATGTCCCTATTGGAGCGCATCCTTATGACACTGGCTTTGTCTTTGCCTATTCCAAGGCAGGCACGGTGTGTTTCCATCACGGACGAGTGGGATGCCAGGAAAGCCAACGTGATGTTTGCGAGGCTTATTTTGAGTGTGATTCTAGAACATCCGCCAGCGATACCGACACGACAAGTTGCTTCTCATTGGAGGATCCCAACCAAGTCCACCGTCTTGTCATGTTCGAGATGGCAAGTGACGACCAGTCCGCAGTGGAAGATGTCATTTACGTGGAAATCCAATTCGGCAGCAACGACGATCCAATCCAAATTCCAGTGGCACCTGCTGGTACGACCAAGTCCATTCGCCGCAATGGTGATAACCGCTAGTAGTCTACTAGTACCATATCGTACCGGTAATAGAGCGATATTGCAAGTTTTCCAGGCGTGTTGCCCGTAATGCAACGTAGACATCCAATTTCACAACTGCTATAGATTTCGGCAGCCATGTTTTCCCTTGTGCCGTGAGCTGGATCTGAATGGTGGTGTTGCGTGAAAGTGGCAGATGTTTCTGCCAGAGACACGGCAAGATATCTCAGTTCCAGTCACTTGTGCTTCCTTTGTCTTGGCTTCGTCTTGGCTTTAGCTGAGTGAAAGGTCTCCTCTTGGCTGCTCGTGATTAGCTGGAGCACCTGATACGAAAGGCAAGGTCAGCACATCCAAAACCAGAATCCATGGGCCAAAGCAGAATCGAATCACACCAAAGCTACATGCATCGAGAGATCCAGTCCATCGTCCTTTCGTACCCAAGCCAACCCAGACCCAGACCATTTACTCCGTCGTGTTACATGTACTGCACAAAAATCCTGCGATTCGAATTTTCACGCGGCCACAACCACCTGTAGCTTGCTATTAGTACGGTATTAACAGCTCTATTGGCTCATTGGTTCCAGGGACCTTGTGCGGACGTCCGGACAATGAGCTGGACACTGTCATTGCAGGTCGATAACCCCCATTTGTCTCTGCTCGTTTTCGGTTTTAACGGCCTCCCTTTCGGTCATTGAAGCCAAACTGATCTTTAAATCTCTTATCAGAAAGCAGTGTCAAGTGAGGTTGAGTCGGCCACCAAGCAGGCACTCCCTAGTACATTAACAAGTACCGGTACTTGTACCGCTGGTATGGAGTGGTACGGTAAGACCGTAAGACCGACTTCTTTTTGTGGTTTTGTGTCCAAAAGGTCACCTGAACTGATTCTATGAGCTTCTTAAAAAAATTTAAAACGGAAAGTTCATTTTTAGGGTTGTAAACTCAGGGGACATCAATCGCAATTCACATTGTGATGCTGTACTAGTATGCTGTACTAGTATGCTGTATGCATGGCTGTGGAAGAAAAGAGCAACCGAGACTCCGGCGGGGCTGTGTGTCGATCGAACTCGTACGTTGTGTTAGACTACTGAGAGACAGCCTTCGGCCAAAGAAGAAAGCTCAACTGCATGGAAGCAGAGGAAGGACTCGACTCTACTCTGCTACCGGTCGTATTTTGTGCAATCGCGGCTGCCTCTTCTACTTCATTCAACCTGTGTTGTTGCTGTTGTTGATCTGGTGTTGCGGTCTCAAAGGATATTGTTTCTTTAGGAAGAGTAAAGAGCAGCCAGAACGATGTCCGGTGTGTTACAGACTCTGGTTGACAATGACCAACTCCGCCATCTTGACGACGCCAACGTAACTCGCATTGGGAATGTGGATGTGGTTCGTCGACCGCAAGAAGAAGACGAAGAAGTGGCGCTGTGTCACATTGCGATTTTGTCGCCTCTGTCTCGTGTGCGAACCAACCAAGATGCAGAAGATGGAACCAAGACGACACGTCGAGAAATTGAGTTTGAAGATGAGATCGAGCACATTGCCTCGGCCATGTTGGCGATGGAACACTGGAATACGGGCAATGGAATCATCAATCCCGAGCTGGCAGGGATCCACCAGAAATGCAACATTCGATTTACCACGGAAATCTTTGATACTGAACATTCCGAGAGTGCGGGTGTCGAAGAAGTCATTGATATTGTCAGTCGGACTCCTGACTACAACCAAAACGACAGCAACAACAACGACAACAACAAGCCACTCCCCTGTGCTTTCTTTGGGTCTACGAGATCTTCTGTTTGCATCCCCACAGCCATTATTACTGGCATCAAGGGTTACCCACAGTTCAGTCCGGAATGCACATCGCCTCAACTCAACGACGAAAATCAGTTCCCACTCTTTGGAAGACTCATCAATAGCGATGACGGGACATCCCTGCCCGTCATCAAGTGGTTACAACAACGAGCAAACGTCAATCATCTAGTAGTCTTGTATCGGACCGATACCTATGGTATTGGCTATGCCAGAGCCGTACAGAACGCGGGCAAGGAAATCGCACCGGATATGCGCCTGGAACTGATCTCGATTCCATACAATGGAGTCGTTGAAGAAGACTTTGACAGAGTAATACAACAACTCAAAGACACACAGCTACGATACATTTTCGCAATCATATCCAGATCACTACATTACGACACACTCATGACAAAAGCATACGAAGCGGGCATTGCCGGACACGGACAACACACGTGGATCTTTGCAGACTCACTGGGGACCAAAATCACATCGAGAAGCTTCCCTCCTGGATCACCCCTCCACCTGGCCACGCAGGGAATTGGAATGCTCTCTCCGACGGGCGGTAATCCCGAAAATCCTCTCTATGACCGTTACGCACTCGCCTTGCAAGAACTCGACAATTCATTCGACTTGGAGTATATAAAGTCCAAATTACCAACCTATCCGGATGTCGACGCGGACGAGTATCAAGCCATCCTGGATGACCTCTATGTCGGATCACCTGCCGAAACCTTTTCCCCCATGGCCTATGACACCATTGTGGCGCTGGGGCTGGGGGCCTGCACGGCCAATGAGTTGTCCGAAGGAGCCTACTTTGATGGTCCACAGCATTTCCATGCGACCGTGAACCGGCAATTCCGGGGAATATCAGGGAACATTGTGCTGGATAAAACAACGGGGTCCAGAGATCCAGAGTCGGCAATCTTCAACTTGCTCAACTTTGTAGTCGACACACACTACGTACCGGATGACGATGATGGCGCCAACAGCATCAGCTTCAAGGGGGTCCTTGCCGAAACATTTGATGATGGGGTTTGGGTGGAACTACAGCCGTTTACATACAATGACGGGTCCACCATTGCACCACCCGATCTGCCAGAACAAGAAATTGACTACAACTTTATTGGGAGACCGCTCCGAGCTGTTGGGTTGTCACTGTCGGCCTTTATTATTTGTCTGTCGATTGCGTTTGCGCTATGGACACGGATGAAACGAAAAACTCGAGTTGTACGGTAAGATTCCACGACAATTGTTTCCTCCAAACGAACGATGTGACTGACTGATGAATTCAATCTACCGTACGTGTACGTGTTACTTCACTCGGTTCAATATCACAGGGCTTCACAACCAATTTTCCTGGTACGTTCATTCTTTGCATGGATGCCGAGTATGTATGGCTAGTTTTCTTTGCAAACGCTCATTGCTTCATTGCTTCTTGTTGATGACATGGACTCTGTCTCCAGCTGCTGATTTGTCTCGGGACGTTGTTGACGGGCGCGGCCATTATTCCTTTGAGCATTGATGATGAAATCGCATCCGTGCAAGGTTGCAATATTGCATGCATGTCAACCGTGAGTAACCTTAATGAAGCAACGGTGACGATGGTGCCTGGAGACTGCAGCAGAAAGCCAACTCACACACATGTTGATCCGACTTCTTATCAGTGGTGGTTGATTGGCGTGGGATTCCCAATCGCATTCAGTGCCTTGTTTACAAAGACTTACAGAATCAATCGACTGGTCTCAGTGGGGACACGTTGCCAGCGGGTTCAAATTGGTGCTGGGGATGTAATGACGCCCATGGTGGTTTTCATAGGAGGTCAGTGGGTTGACTATTCGGAGCTTGGCTACATTTATTTGGTTACTTTTCAGGTTACTTTGCTGACATCTTTTCTGCCGCAAATCATAAACAGTCAATGCCCTTATCCTGACCCTGTTCACAATACTAAGTCCTCTCCAGTGGACGAGAAAGACGATTTCTGAGGGTAAGTCTATGCTGCACCAAAGCTCGATCGTCACTTCCAGACTCTTCTCACACTCTTTTTTAATGTCATTTTGCTCCCACAGACATGTTTGGGCGACCAAATGAATCTTATGGGTATTGTGGGTCAGAATGGGCTCTTCCATTTGTCATTACGCTGGTGTGTTGCAACCTCGGTGGGCTTGTCGTTGGAGTTGTCCAGGCGTACAAGGCCCGGCACCTCAGCACAGACTTTGCTGAAAGTGAATATATTGCAATGGCAATGGTTTTGCTGCTTGTAGTCGGCTTCATTGCCATACCGGTCGCCGTTATTGCAGAAGACAACCCAGGGGCTTTCTTCTTTGTGATAACTGCTCTCATCTTTGTCTGTGCAGTATCGCTCCTCCTACTCATCTTCCTACCAAAGGTGAGGTCCGTCAGTGTGGGACCATCGATGCGAACGTCCATGTCCTCGAAGCGGGACCTTCGCTTGTCCATGCGCCAGCAACGACCCTTGAGTTCCAGTCTTTCCCTAGAACCATCATCTGGGATGGCGTGTGTTGATACAGAACAGCTTGTTCCTAGAATTGACAGAGAGAATAAAGCGTTACGCAACCTGACAGCTGCACTGAAGGAGAGGATTCAGTTTTTGGAGGCAGAAAGCCACTTGAATTCAGCAGCATCCCCAGACCGCAGAAGTGTGCTGACAGACAGCGCCACCAAGATGGAATCATTTCGGGAAGATGGCATCAAAGTTCACGACAAAAGACAGTCACTACAAGATGTCCAAACAGAGAACAGAAGGCTGCGGAGTACGAGGAAGGAACTGGAAAAGCGCCTTGGTGATTTAGAGAAAAAACACAAGTCGTATGACACAGCCTTGCTGGAATTACCATAAACCAACTAGAGAACTGATAGAAAAGCTAATCCTTCAGATACACGATGCTTCCGTCGTCAGTGCGGCGGGGATGGCGGCGAACTACCTTGCCAGTGTCTTTCAGAAGCGAATTCACAATGTCTTTGTCACGCAATAAGGCTCTGTTCATGGGATTCCAGCCCCTCTCGCTCAGAGCCTTGCGGGCCATTGAAACATCACCAAAACTCTGGCTCCAAACCTTGTTGACAAGCGGAATCACGTCCGTCGGAAGGAGGCTCGTGTCCATGCGGAGTAGCTGCTTGAGTTGGAGCAACTCTTTCTTCGCCGTTTCCAGTGCCCTTTTGAAGGCTTTATTCATCTCGGACGCATCGCCTACAACCGCCAAGTGTGACCCGTAAGGAACGCCCTTGAAAGCATGCCACTCATGCTGCTTGTCAAGTACGTATCGAACAAAAGGCACTCCGAAGCGTTCATTGTGGCCGTCTAGAATCATGCAAGGAAGGGGACCTTGATCTCTGGGGAAAACATCGAGCTTGTCGAGATACGCCAATACGTTGGCGAGCACTTGTGATGTGATACCGCCATGAGGACTCACGTCCATGAAACATGGTACCTCCTTGCCCCCGACGACACAAGATGGTCCACTTGGATTCCTTCGGACAACCTCAACTCCGGCCATGTCCGCACCACCCAGTAGATCCGCGGCGATGTCAATTCCAAGCTTCCAATCTTCCGGGATCTCTGTTGATTCTGACTGCAAAACGACGACAGCGAGCACAGGCTCTCCTAGCGCATTTCTGATTGGCGACACGGTGAACAGAATGTCGGCGGTGACTGTAGCTTTGCCCTCCTTTTGTGCCGTGTACATGTTGATCCCGCGGCTGCTGTCGCTTACATCCATGTGAAGCAGGCGCTCGGGGTGAAGTAATTTGAACTTGCAAGGGAAGCCAAAAGCCTGGTCTGGTCTGTTCACAATTTTGCCACTTTTGCTCCTATAGACTGGAGAGTCCAGCTTGCGAGCAATTCCGACCTCGACTAGGTATTCCGACACGCGATCGTACATCTTTTCGACGTTCTGGTGAGTTGCCCATTGCTGTCGGAAAAAATTGTTTCGGAGGGCTCTGACATCAGAAAGTTTTTCTCCGTTTCGCTTCAGGAAACTCAAGTGGTATCTTAAGCTCAGCTTGGTACGTTCTGGGTCGTGCCCTTGAATTGCCGCAAGCCGTTTTCGCTTTTCTTCAATTGGCGTGCCCTCGATGAGTTTGTGAGCCAGCTCTAAGAAGCATTCCGAACTCAAAGGTTCATTCATCCGAGCACATTTGTTGCAAGCATCAACCAAAGCTGGTTCTACGTCATCCATCGGCGACTTCATTCGCCCATCTGGATTGTTCCGTTGGACTCGTGATCGGACGGTTCCTGCACTGATTTTTTCTTTCCCTTCAAGATTGAACTTTGCATTGGCTTGCATGACAATGTTTGCAGATACTCCTTGGTTCAAACGTGTTCCTCTTTGTTTTGCTTCTTTTGTTCTAGCAAGGATCTCCTTGGATGCCCATACCAAGGCAGCCTCGTGATTTTCTGATCTCTTTCTTTTGGCAGCATTTGCATCGTCTTCTTCGTCGGGTCGGGTCGGGTCGGGTCCGTTTTTTCGTTTTGGATCCTTTAGGTCTTCCCGCTTTCTTACGAACACGAATTGGCGGAGGAGCAGGTGCTGCAGCGGGTTGAGCTAGATCCACCGGAGGATCTTTGAGCGTTGCTGCATTTGTGTTGCCAGCAGGACCATCAGTGGTTGGCAGAGCGGCCACGGACGGAGGATCTTTGAGCTTGCATCCACCTCCGATTCCCGGAGGATCATCTTTGGCAAGCGGAGGAGCAGCGGCAACTGCCACCCGTGACTTCATTTTCCCTCGGCCTCGCCCCTCTGGGTTGTTGCGTCTGGCTCTTGATCGCACAGTTTCTTTTCTGATCTTGTCATCTCCTTCAAGGTTGAACTTTGCATTGGCTTGCATGACAATGTTTTCAACTTCTCCTTTGATCAAACGTGCTCCTCTTTGTTTTGCTTCCGCTGCTTTAGCTATCATCTCCTTGGATGCCCATTGCAAGGCAGCCTGTTGGTCCTCTGATTTCTTGCTCTTGTTGTTGGGATGAGGCGGGCCTGGGGTGGTTGTCTCGGAGGCATGGGGCAGATTGGGTGGAGGATCTTTGAGCCTGGCTTCGTTCAAATTATCGCCAGGATCATCCACGATGATAGGGGCGGCAGCTGCCGGAAGAGTGGCGACCGCTGTCGTCGTAGGAGTACTACTTTCTTTGGGCGCTGCTTCATTTTCGGGAGGATCAGGCGGAGCGACGGTTGCGTCCTTGGTTGTCTCTATTGCAGGGACAGAGCCCTTGGTTCCCACCGGAGAAGCGGCGTCAAGCGTCGTCTTTGGAAGAGGAACAGATGGACCAGAGCCTTTGTTGGGTTCCTTGTTGGATGGCTCTCGACTTGATGTGGAACCATTGTGCTTTCCTCCTTTCTGATTCGTACCAGCAGCTGCTGTTTGAGGCGTGGAGTTTTTCTTCTTCGGAGGTTTGGCGACAGAGTTCGCCGCTTGAACCTTAGCTGTAGAAGAAGCCCCTGGAGAAGCGTCATATGCTTCTTGATTTTGATTCTTGGAGATCTTTTTGAGGTGGTTATTCACTGTATCTCTAGTTGCGTCGGCAAGAACCACATTTTTCTTCAGTTCGCCGAGAAGTGTGTCCATGAACCCTGGGGGAAGTCTGCCTTTGTGGTCTGCTTGCTTCTTGGAAATAATTCTTGCAGCCCCGTCCAACAGGGCCTCTTTCAACTGAACCTCGATCTCATTGAGTTTTACCTTCTTGTAGGGACCTCGGAAGGTTCGGGGGGCTCCATTATTCTTGTTGTTTTGCTTTTCTCCGTCCTTGGAATTCGACGTCGCCATGGTCCAACCTTGCAACCTTGTCGAACAGATCGATGGAGGTCGCTTTGGTGTAATTATCAACAGGCAACAGCACCAGAGTGTGTAAAGCGGCAACCCTAATCAATTCAATTCAAACGCTCCTTCGCATCCTCCCTACTAGGTACCGGTACCTGGTACCGTATGCTGCAGAGCTGAAATTACGTCTCCTCGAGACGACGCTCCTTTTAGATTCCCCCTCAGTTGCACTCCGAAACCGATTCGCTCGCGTTTACTGTGTAAAATAGTGTACCCGCACTTCAGTTGCAGAATCAACGGTCATGTGTATCCGTAAGTACCAAACCTGTATTTAACGGTTTTTAACGTCTGTACAGGTGTGTGCGTGCACATACGGTAACGCGACCGTACCGCGACCGGACCGGTACCGTACCGTCACGAAACCGTTAACGTACAGTAACTTCATGGAAACGGAACGAGGAATACGTCAACTTCTGTACATTGAAGTTCAAAACCCGATGAACAATGTTGGAACACGTCAGAGTACAATTTGTATAAGTTATTTGGAATTGGTTAATTGAATGCTGCTTCGACTGTAACATTTCATCGTAATTGTCGGCGGAAAGAGTATCGAAGGGAATGTAGCGACTGAAAGTTTCCAGCATATGCACCATTTCGTCTGGCATTTGGTACTTTGTTAAATCGAGCGACAGTGGTTTTCGCAAGAAAGGCCTTTCATTTCTCTTACTTTGAAAGTACCACGTAAACCAATTATCTGCATAGTGCCAGTTCACACCAACAGTTGCGATCTGTGTATCCCTGCAACTTGTGTCCTGTGGTCGCTGAATTGCTAACAAGAAGAACTGGATTCCTTTCATGCGAACCTCAATCTTTTCCTTTTCGATTTCATCTTGCACTTGAAGGACAATCCGTGTGTCTTGACATCATCTCTCTCTTTT